TTGGAAATAGAAAATGCCATATTACCAACAATCCTCTACTTGGTATAGATAGATCCACAAGAAATAAGAGTTATTGTACAAATAGATATATGTGTACCCATGTTCACTAGCAAACACATGGAGACCGCCCAAATTCCCATCAACAGAAAAATGGCTAGACATATCTTGGTACATACACACAATGGAATATTACACAATGTTGAAGAATAACGCTAAAACTGAGAAACACCTCACAACATGGATGAACCTGGAGGACATTATGCTGAGTGAGATGAATCCATCACAAAAGGGCAGATATGGAATGAGACCACTGTTGTAAAACTTTGAGATTCTTATGATAGTTGTGAGAGGTGTAGGGAGGAAGAATTTATTCACTGGCTAGAGGGTAGACACATGGGGTCACAGAGAAGGCAGTTAAAATAAATTTAAAATAAAATATAAAAGAAGATGGAAGGAATACAGAGAGACTATACCAAAAACACACAGTGACTGAACCAAAACCAATGGGTCCGATGCTCACCATTTCAGGAGGGTACGTACCCTATGATCACAAACTAAAGGTATTGAAGGAAGTCCAAGCTGTACTGAAGGCATTGGCAAAAAAAACGAGACGCCAGGAATTGACAAAACACAGATTGAGGTATTTCAATAAAGGAATGCAAGCCTGAAAATGTTCACTCGTCTATGCCAAGGTATGTGCAAGACAGTTACCTGGCCAACTGATTGGAAGAGATCCATATTCCTGCTCATTTCAAAGAAAGGTGATCCAACAGAATGAGGAAATTATCAAGCAAGGTCATTAATATCACTCCCAAATAAAGTTCTGCTGAAGAAAAAAGTTAGACAATAAAGTTTTGCTGAAGACAACTCAAAAACGGTTGCAGCAATACGTTAATAAGGAACTGCCAGATGTTCCAGCAGATTCAGAAGACGATGCTGAACAAGGGTTATCACTGCTGATGTCAGAGGGATCTTGTCTGAAAGCAAAGAATACCAGGAAGATATTTATTTGTGCCTTATTGACTACTCAAAGGCATTCGACTATGTGGATAACAACAAACTATGGATAACATTGCAAGGAAGGGGAATTCCAGAACTCTTCATTGTGCTAATGTGAAATCTGTACATAGAACAAGAGGCAGTCATTTGAACAGGACTAAGAAATACAGCAGTGTTTAAAATCAGGAAAGGTGTGGGCTAAGGTC